TGCTCCTGTGGAGTGGAATAAATTGGCCGAAAAACGAGGCACCTGAATAATGGGGGTAAGGGAACACATATTTGCCTGACTAGGCGAGGAGGAAAATCGATCGATTTTAAATTCAATTACCGCGCATCTAATCGATATTCATTATCAAGTCGACGAAAAAAAGCCTTTCGGGTTAACTACCGGGCACCAGCACACGACTCTAAAAGCCTACGTAAACGTGAGCTGGTTTCCGCAAAGGCAGTAGCGACTCGGTTACCGAACCCAGTGCTATGTCGGTTAAAGAGATTGATACACGCGTTATGTACGGTACGTCTCAGAATTCGTGCAATATGCCGACATTTGCGAAAGATTGATAAGCACGCACTAATCGCCATTGCATAGGGTTGTAATACTAAGTACCATGTAGCCTACTCTCAAGTTCTTTGAGTTATAATAGAATGGCGGCTGTTTAAAGGGCTACATTCTGAACGGTAACAAAAGGCATGTACTGTAAAAAGGGCTATTTAAATAGTATGCATTTTTATCATGGATTTTGACTGCCTTCATTAATTCAAATATATTTTATGGAAAGCATGCAAGAAGTAATACTCTTTTGTACCTCTTTGATAGCAAATTACGCTTTCTTTAAATTTTATTTTTAAAAGAAGAGTTTCATTCGGCTTTGAAAAAGATTCTTAATTCCCGAACGATTTTGAAAGCTACTGACTGCTTAGACTGAATTCAAATTTTAAAAACCGAATGGTGTGGTCATCCCGTTTAAGGAAAAGTACGCTCTTGCCTTTGGTTTGAGGAAGTTGTTGCATAGGTCTCCTATAATTTCGCAAAAGACATGGATCATGCTCTTTTTATCAGTGAGAACATTAATAAATTGACAGATACGATGAATTATGAATGAACACCACACTGTCGTATAAACCCAAAATTAGAATTTCTTAAAACCGAAGTAAACACTTACTTTAAGAATAAAATTTAAAGAAGGTGTAATTTGCAATCAAGTAGGTACAAGCTGGATTTTTGCATGCATGCCTTCCATAAAATATATTTGATTTTATAAAGGCAGTCAAAATCACTGATAAAAATGCATGCTATTTAAGTAGCCATTTTTTTCCAGAATCAGCTTTTTCGCAGTGGTCAGAAAGAAGCTTATCACCGAGTCGACATTCTAGCGTGACTGCAAATAATGAAAATTGGATTGCATGTTAAACAGTATTACAACCCTACTCAGTGTTGGTTTGCGAGTGATTACCGGTCAAACTGCGGAATGTTTCATGCAGCACTCGCCATACTGTACATAATAACACAATGAAAGGAATGTGCAAGTATTAAATGACCAACCAGAAGTCTGCCGTATTCCTTCCAGGCAAAGTAAGTTGCGTAGGCGGTGTCATTCTGATCAAGGTACTCCAAGTAGCCAACAAGATCGTTAACTGTTGCAAAGTCGTCGACGTGAATGAAGGAGTTTGGTGGTGATCGAGCTTCATACTCCTCCTTTGGTGGTCCATAGACGATGGGGACCATGCCAGTCCTGTTAAAAGTGGAAGCATTCGTGTTCTTATCGAGAAAAATGTCGGTATCTCCTGTCACAGAGAAGATGCAAATGTGTAATGTAAGAACCATTAGAAAAGACAATCATTATCAGTTGCATATCTCGCCAGCTCTATTTTATAGTAGAAATCGAAGCACGCAAAGGGATGTACGCAACAATCGGAGGACACGCAGCAACGGTAGCTAACACGTGATTTATTTTACAGTGAAGCAGACTTACGCTGCATCAAGCACACTCCCCCACTGCACTAAAAGTCGTGGCTTGGGGGGTTGCCAACTGGTGGGATAACTTGGACACCCCAGTCAGCCCATTGCGTTTTTTGAGTGGAGTGGCTTGTAGGAGCCTGCCCCACCAGCGCTGCCATGATCACTCATTCTGCCTGCTCTGTCAACGTGGCTAGTCA